TATATATATATATATATATATATATATATATATATATATATATATATATATACATATACATATACATACATACAGTAAAAACTGTTATATTGTGAAACATTATTACAATTTAAAATAATTACTTTTCATACTCAAGAAAATTTTTTTTTATGAATGTTAAAATTTACAAAAAATATACTGACCCCAAACATTTGAACAGTAGTGTGCATACTTATGAGAATAGTTTTCATAAAAATATTTTACAATTAATAAATTCATATAAATTTTTATAAAATTTCATAGGAATATATTGAGGAACTAGGGAATATGAATAGGAAAATATTTTGACTGTTCTAGTTGTTATAGTATTGCATATCAAGAAGGCATTGTTGATTGCATCTTTAAGTAGGACAAGTAACTCAAATATTGAGGGGTGGTTTAGTGGTTGATAACTGAAACTTTATAGGTAGTGATAAGCTGTCATCATTGTGCTCTTGAGACACTTAAACACATTTGCGTCCAGTGGATTTCTAGTGAAATTCAAGAAAATTGCTAACCGCTTTGTCAGTTATTTAACAGATGTTAATTATACAGTGTAAACGATGTAGAGCGGAACTATAGTTCAATAGAGCAGTTCCATGTTGACAGGCCTTTTCAGATGCAGTGAAAGGAGAAAGTACTGAGTGCTAGTTTGTGCCCTGAGTGTAGAATACATATTGATGCCTTGACATCATCAAACTCACTCATGGCTGTTTGTTAATGATTAGTTATCATTACAGCACTGTATGGATATTTCTCAAGCATTCTGGTTTGTTCTAAACCTCTGACCCGGAGTATTTAGCTTCTGCTGGTAATTCAGGCTGAAATGGTTAACAAACAGACTAATTTAAGGTTAGTCTTGTGTGTTCTGTTGTTAGTTTGTAAGCATTACACTTGTAAATATATTTAAGTTTGAAAATTTCCCAAAGTGGCCTTTGTGGCATGTTTGGATTTTTTTTTCTTTTTTTTTCTTCTGTTTAATTTCAAAAAAATTTTCAGCTTAGTTTTCTATATAATATTTATTTAATTTAATTTTATTGAGTTGATTTAGTTTTAGTACTTCCAAAGTAATGTGCTAACTAGTATAATTTAACTAGCATTATTCTCAGCACAATTTACGTTATTGTTATCTAGTGGCATTTTCATGTTTAATGCAGATGAGCATTATTAGTAGTATTATTTATATACTATTTTAGTATTTATTTATTAATTAAATAAATAAATTAATTCTATTTTTCTTTTTAATTTTAGTATAAGATATAATTTTATGTGCTTTGTCATTTTTATTATTTTTTTAATTATTTTTTTTAATCTTTTAATTAATTATTGTTTTAATTTTGGTACTTCAACTTAAAATGTATTTCAGTTAGTTGCCAAGGAACCATTTCTAAATTTAGTTTTTTTAAGTTAACAATTGTTTGTAGTATTTATTAATATTATTAATATATTAATACTTAATTAATATTAAGATATTCTGTTTTTAATATCTTAATATTTGCATATCAAATTGCAATTGATCTTCTGTCTTACATTTATTTACATACTGAATTGTCATTGATCTGGTGTTTCTTGCATATATATTTAGCCGCTTTTACACTTCACTATGTCTATGCCTATTGATTCTTACAGTCAAGAAAAAAAATTGCACCGACTATTATGACAGTGGCGAAATGTCTCGCACATGGTATGCTATTTGCAAACACCGTTATTTCCTTGCACGTCTAGTTTGTTATTAAAAGCCCTGAAAATGGCTATCACATGCTGTGTTATTGTCTTTAGCACATGTAGTTTATTAGTATGTGGATGCCCGAGCGTGGAGAATGCTGGGATAGATCAGCACTGCGTGGCTCAATTACAGTGCTGACGTGCAGTAAGTCACCGCATTGATCTTTGCATGCTGTCACCCCATGCAGAAGCACGGCACACGTGGGTTATCACACACGCACCGTGAGCCATAAACAAGAGCACAAGCCGCACTGAATGACAGATGGTGCAATATTTCAATTTAGTAAATGAAGTTTGACTCTGGCAGAATGAGGCCTGTAAATCTCCCACACACAGAGTGTTTTGCCACTCTGTTCTTGAAGCGTCTGTACAGGACGTGTGTCCCTGAACAGGGCGAGATGACCTGCCCTAACCAGGCCTTTGTGATTATTTCGCTGTGGTTATTATTTATGGATGTGAGCGCATAATCCATGTGTAGATGCTAACGGGCTCGTTCTGTGAGAGGACGAGGTGAGAACAGCACTAGGGATGCACCGATATGAAAATTTTGGCCGATACCGATAACCGATTATTCTTTATTTTTGAAAGCCGATAACCGATATGTTGGCCGATAAATCTATATCCAAATTGTTATATACTACTTTTTTAGCAAGTCCACTTATAATGTTAATCAAGGTTTTATTTTAGTTAATTTTGACCGTTTTTCACTCTTTCTGTGGGAATTTAGCAGGCTGTTTTTGCTACTTGTACTGTTAAGGCTTTACTGTATAGATAAATGACCTTTGCTATGACTGGTGAACCTCCACATATTGAAATGTAGGCAGTCATGTGGTTGTGACATCATGAATGTGGCAATTTTGCACAATGTTTTTGCTGATTAATTCCCGTAAATTATCTGGATGAACTCGTGAGGGAGGTTTGCATTGTGAATGTTACAATGTGTCTGCATTGTGCATTTATTTATTGGTTTATTTCTTTATTAATAAATAAATATATATTAAATAATAATTATAATAATATTGTTGACCTAATCATTGCCAACAAAATTTCTTGATGTTTTAAGTTTGAGTAATATTACTGGATTTATAAATTTTTATTGTTTTAATGGACTTATCCGACGCGTATATAAATGATTCGGGTGTGCAAGGCACAGTATTTTCTGTAAGACTGTAGAAATTAAGACTTTATTACTTCCAATTCCAGCTATTAAGTTTACAGAGAAATATTAAATGTTGCTCCTTCTGTTTAGCTTTATGAAATATAAATTTTTATTATGATTATCATTTTTATATTTAATTTATATATAATCTATTATGGAAAGAGCATTTTGCCGTGCCAGCTTGTCAAAGAAATTTGCATCTTTCATTCACAGGAAGCTGCATATGATTTACCCTTGCTTCTAAATGAAACGTATGAGTACATGACAAAAATGATGCAGTTTCCTAGATTAAGGGATTGACACAGCAAGCATCTTCTTCACTCTCCTCTACGCCCCATTTAAGGGTAGTCTTTTCAGCTTGGTGCTTCAGTTGTATTTGAACTTTCTTTTAATATATCTGCAGGAAACATCATCCTAAACATCTGACCCAGATCTAGTTGTTCCCCGGGCCAGAAAACATCTTTCCCTCGTTTGACATGAAGTAAAACACTCTCCTGTGTTTGTTCCCTTGTCCAGGTCACTTTGAAAAGGCTCATTTAAAAAGGTCTGTGTGCCTTGGACTGCATACCTTGAGCGGTTTAGCATTAAAATATTCACTCAGTCAGGTTTTAACAATTTGTGGAACTCCTTTCATGTATGAGAAACTTTCATGACCCTTGATGGCCGTCCCACAATGTTCCTCATGCTGTTATGTTAATTTGTAAGCAGAGCAGGAGTGTTAGTTAGCGCTGACTGTTACTGACGTTTCAGACCGTTATTGTTCATTAATGACCCCATGAATTTCACTGTAGTTGTGCTTAGTAGAAGTACTAGACTGTTAAATTTTAGCAGATATGTACATTTAACTTTTCTTCTCTCTCTTCTGGGAAATACAAATATTGGTGACATCTTGGTCTGAGGACTTGCTGTGCACATGTGGTGCTTTATCCCACAATGCATGACCTTTTTCAACAGATTCCCAGTGTGTTCCCTTACTTTCCCTTACCATGATAAGAGGATGTTACTTTAAGTTAAACATGCTACCTGATGAGGACATGTGACACATTTGCAAATTGCATACTTAAATATATTTAAATAAAAATAGTAGGTTACATTAAATATTCAGCATACGTTAAGCTGCTCACCAGTTTCATTGCGTAATTGAGAAACTATTATAGTTTTTATTAATTTATTTTGAATCAATTTTGTTGTATTTTCCATTTTATTTTTTGTTAAAGATTTAGTATTTTTATTTTGTATTTATTGTGCATTGTAATTTTTTATTGTTTATAGACACATCTATAGTTTGTCTTTAATATATATGTCTTGCATATCTAATATATGTAAGCTAAACTGAGAATACAAGTACTGTTAAAATGAGAAATGTTGCCTTGTCAGCTAGCTGAATTTTTTTTATATATGTTTTCTTTTATTTAATTTAATGTTTATTTTATTTCAAGTAGTGAAAATGTTTGTTTAATAGTTTATTTTAGTTTTAGTTAACTATAATCACCTTGCAGCACACTAGTATTAAAGTCCAAAATTAACTACTTAACTACTAATTGACTGTCAATAAAGTAATCAAATAAGAAAATATTTTAAAACCATTGTTTACCACTTAGCATATAGATAAGCAGCTTTTGTATAGCTGAATCTTGAAATTTTTTTTATCAGTAGTAACTGGATTCGATTTTGCTGTTAAAGGGTTTTGTATTTAACTGCATATGTTGTTTGAGATGATCACATTATTAATTCTGTAGTGTTCTTGTATTTAGTGAGTCTACAGGCTAAAATCATCTTTCAGGAGAATGTTTTATGTTTGTATGAGAAGTGGGCCAATCAGAGATGAATGGCTACCGTTGATGGTTACTCACTAACTGGTGACACAGATGGAGATCATTGATAAACCTAATTTTAACATCATTGCCATCCCTGGAAAATAGAGCACTTGTTTTTTTCTGTTACTTAATATGTTAATGAATGGCCTGTGAAGCTGAAAAAGAGTCCTTACAGGACAGTTGTTTAGGTTTTCGGTGAAATGTTTTCACATCTTCAAGTCCCTATATTTGGCTAAAGACTGTTTGCCACCCATTTCACCTCTGAAACGTGATGAACTGGATGTATTTGAAAAAGCTGGATTTGATTTTAGTTATTGGGAATTGATAGAGTCAAGAATAAATCGCTCACAATAACATGTATAACAAAATTAAACCAGATTGAATATGAGTCTATGTTGACACTTGAAGTGTTTTATCATATATTTTACACCCTCTCTCAACATCCTCTGGGAATTCAGAGCAACACTTTTTTGCGAAATAGCTGATTATCCAATGATATGACTAATAAAAAGACTTACTGTTTTTCATCAGAAACTGCGGGAAGCGGGCGTTGAAGTGCCTGAAGTGGGTGGGAAGGCCAAGGGTGGCGTGGAGGAGGATAAGAAAAATCTGACAGAAGAGGTCAGGAAACTGAAGGATGAACTCGGCGCAACAAAGAAAGGTACTAAATGACTCTGAGTCACTCATACACTGAACCGCTCCCTGTTTACATATTTAAAAAAACAAAGCTACTGTGTGCTTGTCTATGGTTGCACAGTCTCTTAGTGAACATTAATGCCCAAAATTAGGCTATTGAACAAATTTTGTTTATGAAAATAATTGGTATTAAAGAGAGAGTTCACCCAAAAATTTAAATTCTGTCATTAGTTATTTACCCTCATGTCGTTCCAAACCTGTAAGACCTTCGTTCATCTTCGGAACACACATTAAGGTATTTTTGATTAAATCCAAGAGCTCGCTGACCCTCCATAGACGGAAACGCAACTACCACGCTCAAAGCCCAGAATGGTAGTAAGGACATTGTTAAAATAGTCCATGTGACATCAATAGTTCAAACTTAATTTTATGAAGCTATGAGAATACAAGAATAAGAGACCGAAGAATTGTTGAAAAAGTATTCTCATAGCTTCATAAAATTAATAAAAAATTTAAATGTCACATTTCTGGGCCTTGAATGTGGTAGTACCCTTGCTGTCTATGCAGGGTCAGAAAGCTCTCGGATTTCATCAAAAATATCTTAATTTGTGTTCTGAAGATGAACGAACGTCTTGCAGGTTTGTAACAACATGAGGGTGAGTAATTAATGACAGAATTTTCATCTTTGGGGGAACCATTCCTTCAATGTAATTATTTGATTGGATCATCAAAATGGTATGTGATATTATTGGTTTAATAGAAAAGTCAACTGAAAAGTCATTTCATTGGTGGTGAAAATGACATTTCAATGAAAGTTTATTAGAACTAACACTTTTTCTTTGGAATAACGTTAACAGAATGCGTTAATGATTTGGCCACACAATAAAACCAGGAGCATTTATTGAGACGTTTATTGGAACATTTGCCGTTCAAAATTTGGGGTTACCAGGGCTGCATTAATTTACTCAAAAATACAGTAAATGCAGTAATATTGTCAAATTTCTGAAAACATTAGAAAATGTTTTCTATATGAATATATTTAAGATTTTAAAATGTGTGTTGCAGAGCTGAATTTTCAGCAGCCTTACTCCAGTCTTTAGTGTCACATGATCCTTCAGAAATCAATGCTGCTTAGTATCTTTGTGGAAACTGCTACATTTTTTCAGGATTCTTTGATGAATTGAAAGTTCAAAAGAACAGTGCTTATCTGAAATAGAAATCATTTGTAACATTATGAATGTCACTCTTTACTGTAACTTTTGATCAGTTTAATGCATCCTTGCTTCATTATTTAATGTTGCCAGACATGGGTTCAGAGTACATAATAAAGACCTTACAATGAGCAACACAAGATGACCTCAGCAGAACTAGACAAAAGAATGAGCTTAGTAAGATCGATTCCCACGCCTCCTTTCACATGTGCACTGTATTTAGACAGTGCTAAAGGGTTCATGACACTTTGATGACCCCCAAACTGAGGTCTCCATTGGGTCATCTTGTACCAAAGCACATTTTAAGGGTACTGCACAAAACCGTAAGTGAGCTTGCAGGTATTATTTTAATACCTGCCATTTAAATGTTATGTAAATAAAATGAGTAGTGTATTAACACTTCCTTTATAAAGTGTGGGTTCAGTAAGATAAAAAAAAAAAAGAATACTTTTATTAATCAAGCATTAAATTGAATAAGAAGGGATAGTAAAGACTTGTACATTTTGTACAAATTTCTATTTCAAATAAATGCTTTAAAAAAAAAAAAGCATCCTGAAAAAAAAAATGTATCAAGGTTTCCACAAGAATATTAAGCAGCACAACTGTTTTCAACATTGATAATAATATGAAATGTTTCTTGAGCAGCAAATCAGCATATCAGAATGATTTCTGAAGCATGGTGTGACACTGAAGACTGGAGTAATGATGCTGAAAATTCAGCTTTGCATCACATGAATAAATTACATTTTAAAATATATTGAGATAGAAAGCAGTGATTTTAAATTGTAATTATATTTCACAGTATTACTGTTTTTACTGTATTGTAGATCAAATAAATAAGAGACTTGGCAATCTTAGCAACCCTCCTCCCCCCAATGTGTAATTGGTAATATGTGTCAATCACATGGTCTCTTCTGGTCTCAGTGAGCAGTATTTGGGCAGATTAAGCTACAAAGTGGACCAGAGGTTCCACTGAAAGTCAAAGGTCTGGCTCTGTGATGCTACTGTAATCTGGAGAATTTGTAGACCTACAGAAAAGGTCATTTAGATCTCTGACTCATGTATTTCTAGTACTTATTGTTTGCTTGTGTGTGCAGCTCTTCAGAAGTCAGACAGCGATGTGAAGGCCATGAAGAAGCAGGCTGAGAACCTCACAGCGGAGTACGACCGTCTGCTGGAGGAACACGGCAGACTGCAGGTCAGAGCTCATGCGTGTGTCACACTGCTTACATCTTTCCCATTCTAGCACTGCTCGAGTCCCTAGTGAGCTGCCTTACTGTCTTCAAAGACTGCTGCCTTCTAAGGCAGCATACTAACTGAAGTGAAACCTGAAGTGACCTGAAAAAAAGATGAATGATTTCAGTAGCATCCAAAGTATGCGAGTCTCTGGTTAAAAAATTATTTTGGTTTACTCTTAAAAGAAATCACCGTTTTAAACCAGCTCACAATATTGAAAATCATAGAAAGGTTAAAAAATATCAGTATAATATTTTTTTGTTTTGTCTATACCGCTCTGCCTGCCCATATTGATTTGATAATAAAACCTTGCTTTTATGTTATTAGTTATTAATATGAATTATTCAATTATAAAAATGAATTATTATTATTATTTTTATTGATGTTGCTTTTAAATTCTTTTTTAAATCCATATTAATGTTCTTGAACTGAATTTTCATTAATTACCTCAACATTTAGAAAACCTAATGGCTATAACGCCTTAAAATAGTACCCAGATTGGTAGCTCGTTATGTTTTAAAACAGAGGTAGTTTTCTCAGAAGTGTCATCTTTTAATAATCATAACAGATCAAAGAACATTTTCCTGTTGCTCATGTAGCATTCCTGTCGCTCTGAGGCAAGGGCATGGGTTCACTTCCCAGGACACACACATACAGACTGATCAAATCAATGCCTCAAAAGCACTTTAAATGGATAAAAACTAAGAGAAATTAATAAATGTTAACATCTCAAACCACGTTTGAATGCTCTGCATTTCAGTTTCCAATCTGCCCTGATGCCAGCTGTTCATGTCAATCTGCCTGCATCTGCTGGAGTTTGCTGCTGAAAGCAAATGTTATAATGCAGCTAGTGTGTACTAAGGATACTGTGGCATCTGTTTTAACAGGGATGAAAGGTATAACAGTGTTTAAAGAACTGCAGAAAAATATCACAGACTGAATCCCAGTTTTCAAAACCGTACTGTCTGTCCTATTGTGCAAGATGCATTCACAATCACAGTTAGGTGGAATTATGCTATTCTCTACTTGAGCTACAGGAAAGACTTAATCTCACACGAATTGTATATTAAAGGGTGAGATCCATAGTGTTGGTAAAAGCAAACAAATTCAGCAAATGTCACATCTCCGAGATGTTTTTGAGCTGAGGGGCAGTGTACATTGGCACCATTGGCATGTGCCCAGTTGGCATCTGTAGCATGTTGAGTGAACATTACGAGGAAACGTGTTTAAAAGAAACAGACGCTTTCCTGGAGGGTCTGATATCAGTATACTAAGAAAAGTTAGAAATTAGACATGCTGTCATCAGCCTGTTGCTCAGATTACATGGTGAGCGTCAGTTTTCAAATATCATAAGCAATGTATCATAAAGTTGAACTTCAAGATGCCAAGACCCAACTCAAAGGGTTTTATTAAATGCACACAAAGAAGTTTACTCTTTCTCATTTGCATTTATATAGACCAGTGTATCAATACCATAATAAACCCTTATTTACTTTCAAATATATTTGACTTTAACATTATAAAGCAAGTAAAATGACACACATGGTCTTCTCTCTGTGGCTGATGATACTAGAAAAGATTCCATCACACTCTCTTTATTCACTTAACTTGGAGAGAGATTTTGTTTTTTACTTTTTTTTTTTTTTTTTACTCAGAAGTCAGTGCACCTGTCAGTCGTCCTCCTCTGGAAACATGAACGTTATGACCGGTAGTCTTCTCAAGTGTGTGTGTAAGTGAGACAGAGAGGGTGGGAGTCAGATAGACAGGCTTCTCTTGTTTACATAAAAATAAGCAGCTCATAAGAGACCGTGACTCATGAACACGTGCTGCAGTTATTGCATGTTACACGCTCAGCACACAGCAACAAGGTGCTTACTGCTTTCATGCACATCACAGCGCTGTGAAGCCATACATTTTTAGATATACTGTGTGTGTGTGTGTGTGTATTGAATTTTTGGAATCTAATTACGTAATCCAGATTACATGAAATCAGTTACTACCCAGCACTGTATATATAAAATGGTGAATTATACATACATATACATACATATACATATACAGTGGGGAAAAAAAGTATTTAGTCAGCCACCAATTGTCATTTTAAACCACATTTTTACCTTCTTTAGTCTTCATTTTCATACTCTGTTTAGTCCCTACATTGATATGAGCTCGTTCTACCTACATGCATAATGATTATACAGGATGATGATAATATAGTTGAGAGTAGTCCTAAAATAAAGCATGCAGGACACTGCTAAGACTTGCTGACGTCATGTCAGCCACCCAGAATCACTCTCCAAAGGATTGTGCAAATCTCTGTCAGTTGGTGATGTTGAAAATGTCACTTCTTTCTGCTCTGTCTCTGAACGCAGGCTAAATGCGACTCTCAGCAGGACAAGAAGTCAGACTGAACGAACATCATCATGCACCTGCTCTCTTTCCTGCATCCTCATTGGCTGGTAGCAGCTCAGCTGGCTGTGTAAGGACAGGGTTCCGTTCTTCATTCATGCGCTTTCACGTGATTCATTAAAGCCTCTGCAGGGTTTTCACACACTGTCATATGTTTTCTTTCTGCTTTTGCTGTGAACTTCTAGTGTTTAATTTTTATTTCAAGTTTTTGGTTATAAACTCTGTTTAGAATTGAATATCAGCTGACATGAGTATTACATTTCTTGATGTGTCAGTTTGTGTGTCAGGTACATTGAGCCTCATCAATGAAACACAAGCAGAGTGAATTTATGTTCACCAAAAAATTTAAATTTGCTTTAAATTTACTCACCCTCAGGCTATCCAAGATGTAGATGAGTTTGTTTCTTTAAAAAGTTCAAGTTAAAAAAAGCCTAAATTTGTTTTACAAACAGCTTTTTGTTTCAAACGATGTTAACTGATGGACTGAAGTCATGTGGATTATTGTGATGTTTTTATCAGCTGTTTGGACTCTCATTCTGACGGCACCCATTCACTGCAAAGAATCCTTTGGTATTTGTTTAAATAGCCATATTGAATTGAATGCCACAATTTACACAAGCCTGATTTTTTACCAACAATTTACTCAAATTCATTCAGCTTGGGATTCATAAATGAGTCACATTGTTTATATGGAAGGACCAAGAAAAAGTTTACAGGATATTCTAGACTATATGTTTTTGATATGGTAATTGTTGGGTTTCAAGTCTTTTTTTTTATTTTTTTAATTAACTACTTTAATTTTCTTGCCTTATAGGACAAACCTTCAGTCTTTCATTATGAATATGGATATTTGGTTGCAGTACAGATGCATGTGTTGGTTAATTTTAGATCTTTGATTTACAGGGTACACAACACTTTACACCCAATAAGCACTTCAGAAAGAAAATCCCTCCAGGTTATGATCGACGAGCCTCATTTGTCATTTTGACTGTCTTGCGTCATGCTATAGGAAGATATTTTTGTTTTATTTTGTCTTGGGTATGGGATAGCTCATATTTAGAGCAGAGTGAATAAACTGCTTCTTTCCAGTCTGGTCTGGTTTGAGGCCACTGAGTCGGTATAATCTGATATGAGCCCGGCAGGGCTGTTACAGTGGGTATGAACACCACTTTGGCAGGAACATTAAAGCATCCACAGCTGATATTGTTTCAAAACACAGCGCACTATCTCTCGTCCTCTAGGTATTGAAATTATATTAATGTCACATTTGAGGGCCACGCGTTAGTTTTGCATTTAAAGGTTACGTGGTTGAACTCTGTTCACTTGCTGTTTTACAGTTTAAGTGCCCCGGGTTTCTTTGCTTCTTTTCTGGCATGTGTAAATCAATATCTTTGCAATCTTAGAGCAGTGCCACCTGAAAAAGAATCAGCCGGAATGACATCATAGCCGTGTTAAAATAGGGATCTGTGGGAACAACGTTAGCGCTGTTTTGGGCTCCCAGGGGAAAGGGCATCGGGATCGCTGGCGGAGTGTCGGATAATTCATAGTCAAGACCTCCTGGACGGTTACCAATCATGAGAATGTGAGGAAGGACATCTGCTACAGCACCAGTTCAATGAAAATGTCAGTGTATACCTGAACATTGAAATGGCAGGAGTTCATTTTAATAGTTTAGAGGTCATGTCATATTATATCATTTTCAAACCCGTAAATAAACAAGTGAACTGTAGTACTGTTAAAGGGGCTCTTTCTTAATATGCATTTCCAAATGTAGCTGCTTCTTTCTTATATCAGGTTTTTACTTTGAGTTCTTGCAAAAAAAACAAAAAACATGCACTGATATGTTGGCAATGATGGAATTAACAATACTTGGGCGTCATGAACATGTTGTGATTGCGTAGTTGTGTGTAATGCACGGTTCTGATAGTGCTGTTATCTGCCTCGAATGTCTTCAGGAAAGTTTTGTCTGCAATCTCGTCAATCTGCATTATTTCACTACGAAATTTGAGTGTTATGTGTTCTGGTGATGTGCTTTAGTTGGGATGTTAAAAAAACCAAACCAATAAATTCTACTTCATTTATCTTGGCTGAATCTGCAGTGTATTTTTTTTTTTTTTTACCAATTTTTAATAAACCTATTTTTAAGCTTATCAGTAGTTAAGGGGACAGTTCACTCAGAACTGTTATGTTTCACTCAAAAGTTCCAGAAAACTATTCTAGAAGTGATCCACATCGATTTGTGCACTAAGTGTTAGGAAGTCATTTGGAAGGTTTTTCTTTTTGGTAAATATTTCCCCTCACAGGCTGTTAATCGTCTGAACGGATCGCTGATTCAGTGAGTTTAACGTGAGAACTGAATCAAATTAGATTTGTGATCGAATCAGTCTGACCACATATTTTCATCGAGTCAAGTCACCTTTATTTATATAGCTAGCGCTTTATGCAGTACCGATTGTTTCAAAAAAGCTTCATAGAAATAAACAGATTAATAACACAATAAATGATGCAAACAGTGTTGATTCAGTTCAGTTCAATAACTATCCATTAAAAAAACTAATTCGATTCAGCTGTAACGTTTTGTGAACGGAATCAAATGATTCACTGAATATTTGACTCGAAAGAACGATTCATTCATGAATATATTGTCATTCTATATTAAGGAGAAATATCTCATTACCATGCACTTAAATTATAAACTCTGCTGGATTGTAAAACAAGAACTTTTTCATATAGTTTCTGGAGTTGTTTAATGATTCATTTGGCCTTTACTAAATGATTCACAACATTGAAATGGTCAAACTGAAAGTTTACAAGCACCTCATCCGTGCAAGATTTTCCTCCGTACTGTCCTGCATAATTAGGAACAGTATTTTGTGGGTAATTATTTAGCCGTTGATATTAAGCAGATGACTGCTTGGTCTTTTTCTGTCTTACGTGTCTGTGAGTCGTGAACTACGTGCTACAGACCGAGTGAGGAGGTAGACTTGATACCTCACCACAACACATACTAAATATTTGTGTTGTCACAAAATTACACGAATATGGTGTTATCTGGCTGTTTTGGCCGCATTTACTAAATGAGCTTAGTATACAGCGGATGAAAAATGAATTGGATTTTGTCATCAATACTTATTTCAAAGCATTCTGTACAATTACTGACTCATCCATGCCATTTTTAAACTTATATTACATAATTGAATATTACGTAATATCCACGCTATGCACATCGTGTTTCTCTCAGACAGTACCAGTATATTCTGTCAGTATAAGCGGTCAAAATTCAAGTTTTTTTCAAGTTACATTCATTGTGCTTGGCCTACTGCCTAAGAACAATGTATAAAAATGCTTTTCGAATTTGTAAATAAAAGATTATCGAAGTACATTTTACAAAGAAAATACTATTTCTGTGTTTCTACTTTAAAAATTAGACATCTAATTTAATGGAATTGTATGGAAGCCGCATGCAATTATTTATTTTTTCACAGTTCACACTTTTCCCCCCTCAGAATCGCAATTCTAGCGATACAATGTCAGAATTGTGAAATTAAAAAGTATCCAATTTTACCTCAGAATATCGAGGTAAAAATAAATGAGCCGACCTCAGAAATGACCTCGGAATAGCTTGTCAGAATTGTAAGATAAAAAGTCACCTCGTATGTTTTAATTCCGTGACAGAAACGGGCATCCAGTTACTTGCAGATGTTTTTGTAATTATGAAATTTACTAGCAATTTCTTAGTGATAATTTTTTTTCTATACCATTTTTTCTTTCCAGTGTAGAGTATTATAGGCCTACTGAGGTAATATTAAACTTAGTCAACCCAATTCTACTGTGCTAACAAGCTGTAATCCATCATTGTTTTTGAGTGTCAGCGGTGTTTACTTGCTCATGTAATGTGAGTGGGAGCTGATTTCAGCTTTTGTGCTTCAGGACTGAACGCCCATCTGTTTCAGGCTCTGGGCCGAGCCTGGGCAAAGTAGCTCAGCTAAACATAGTCAACAAACTTCTGCCAGCCGCAGCCCGGCTTAATATGGCAGCTGCGCTCTCCTGACAAACTGGCATTTGTCTTTAAAAACCAGTCTGAACCGCATGGGACCGGCCCTCCTGCCCAACAGGTCTGCAGCAGACAACAACTGTGCCGCCAGGAAAAAATTATGTGGTTTGACTAAGATCTTCACTCAAACAGCCCTTATAAATATGCAATGCAATGCTTATTATAGTGCCCATCAAATACCTACCACTGCTATAATGTAATGTAGCCAATGTAAATTAATATGAATTTACTCTAGACTCTTTAACCCTGTAAGGTATGACATGGGGGGACTGGTGGAAAATGGACAGAATCTAAAAAAAAATGTTTCAGTTTATTGCCATTTGTTGCTTTGACTTGGGCAGGTGGATCAGCACAAGATCACAGTGGTGGAGCATGAAGCCCTTCTAACATGAGAGGGATGCTGTTAGATGGGACACTAACACATGGTACAGTTACCTTAGCTTTACTACTGTTCGAGTTAAAAATGGACAACCATGGTTACATCATAGTGTGTTACAAACCACAAGAATGAAAGACGTCAATGAGCTTATAACCAGGTCAACTGTGATGTTTCAAGACAGTATCGTCACCCAAAGCTTTGGACTCTCTCATTAGATGGTCCTCTCGAGGTCTGCTTTATGGTTTGGTTCTACTGAATCTTTAACTAAGTCTTTGGAATCATCAAACAGGCTAATTGAGTTAATAAATGAACACACTGTATTCTGAGATTGATTCTACTGTGCTGTTCACCGTTCCCTTTAAGGACGTTGTGAAAGTTGTGGTCTATAGCTTGAACATTCAGCAAACCTTCAGTGCAAAGATACTGTCGAGAACATTTGGCAGAGCATAATAAATGACATAAAACATTTTTTCTTATTTTGTTAACATGTATTTTTTCTAGATAAAGATTTCTACATGTAATCACTATTTAATAACTGATCTACTGACCAACCCAGGCTCTTATTTGGATGGAAAGAAATGCATTTTTCTGATGGTGAGAATTAGTGTTTGATTTGACTGATTCTTTCTTTGCAGTTTGGCTTGTTTAAAGGAATAGTTCACCCAAAAATAAAAAATAGCTGAAAATGTACTCACTCTAAGGCCAGCCAACATGTTGATGCTGTCAAATGGGTGCCATCAGAATAAGAGCTCAGAGCTGATCAAAGCATCACTATCGCAAAACCGATTTTAGAAACATCTTGATGGATTTGTTTCTTACGAACACATGTTTTTTTCACTTCACAAGATGTTAAGTGATGGACTGGAGTCATGTGGATTACTTGTGGATAATTGTGATGTTTCTATCAGCTGTTTGGACTCTCGTTCTGATGGCACCCATTCACCGCAGAGGAATTGGTGATGTAATGCTAAGTTTCTCCAAATCTGTTCTGATGAAGAAACAAACTCATCTACATCTTGGATGGCCTGAGGGTGAGTACATTTCCAGCAATTTTTCATTTTTGTATGAACTATTCCTTTAACTGAAATTGGACTAAATGGTTAAAGATTAAGGCCTCTGGTAAACTAGTATCTCTAATTTTGAAGCAGTGAGGAGGTTAACTTAGTCCTCAGATGTCTGAGGGGCACTTAGATCATTTCATTCTCACTCATAAAGGCATGTTCAACTCTATGGGAATGAATAGATGTGCCACTAAAATGGACACTCACACACACATATATACAGTATATATATATATATATATATAAACCCATTTAAGGGGGAAACTGCTGAATGTGTTTTTTTTTAATGGAAATGTTCTAGTGTTCCTCAAAACCATAGAGAGTTGAGAGATTAAATTATAACCAAAACAACAACGTAAGCACTGTCTCCAATTTAGATGTTCAATGAAAACCAAATCGAACTGGGTTCTGGGTGGTCAGCAGAAAATACTGGAGTTTTACACACACAATCTAAAACATTTAATAACTGCAGCACTTGATATTTCAAATAAAACAAAGTTTGTGTGTCTCTGTGTCTCATATGCCTCCCGGCAACTGCTTTTGCAGCATTTCACTAAGAATTCCCACTCCATGTTATCATCTTTATCAAAAGTACATACAGCATCAAACGTTAAAATATAACACAGATATCAATATGTATTTATATTTATATGCATATAAGCAAAATAATAGCCTTCACAAAATAAATCTCTGATTTATTTTACAGTATGTAAATCACAAGAAGAAGAAAAAAACGTTCTAACACGATTAAAAAGTGCTAGCAGATTATTTTACAACAATGTGCAAATGTATTCTGAAGCCTTACATTATGTAGTCTAATTTGTACATGATTTAGTGTTTGAGTTGATTATCTTCAGGGCAGAATTCCCACAGGTCAGAATGAGGCCGGTTTGTCGGTTAATCTTGGCTATTTGTCTATCGGTTCTCAATAAAGACAAATAAAGGCAAAGTTTGGCAACTATGTGTCAAAAACGTCAACGTGTTTACAACAGAATAACAGAGATCAAGATCTCCTCTCGGATATTTAGTGTTCTGCAAAATTGACATTGGCAAAAAAAATAAAAATAATTTTTTTTCAAACATTTCAAATTGTGTTTTCAATAATCGTCGTCTTTTCATTTATCTCTTATATTCCTACTACTATCGGTAGTTATTGAATTGTTAGTTAAAGCTAGAAGATTATGATAATATGCATTTCTGTGAAACTTTACAGTTTTATTTGCTTTTTGCATTTTTAAAAAAATAACTTCCATTGCGTTACCATTATGATTTAAAATCATAAACTAAAAATCTTAGAGATCATATTAATACTGGCACTCAAAATATAGAACTGAAACTAAAATTGTAAACGTCTAATTAAAGTCGGCATGAAACGTTGCTTGAAGCCCATTTTAATTCAGTAAAGTGATGTTATTCAGAGTAAAACCGCATAAATGATTAACTGCATTGTGAAAAAATGGATGTTTCATGTTGACTTTAATAAAATGCAACTTTTGGTTCACAAGCACCTAGGGCTGCACGATTATGACAATTCATAATTGTCGATTAATCCCTTGAAATTGTAATTGCGATTATTAATTACGATTATCACAATTTACATTGAATGATGTTTATACCATTGTTTGATGCAACTGCATGCCGTATTTTTATATGAAAATAAACAAGCTGAAAACAGTCTAACTGAAAAACCGTTACTATAGTATTAAGCCTCAAATGTCAAATATACATCGGATTGGTTTCTTCTTTAAATTATAAAAAAGTACAAATATGACTGGTATTATAATGTTATACTAAAACAATGGAAAAAGCCTTAAGATAACATGTAGAAAGAATAAAAACATATCTTAAGCGTGCGGAATAACATAAGTGGACTTTGAACGATTAATTGCCGCTTTGAACGATTACGTAATTGTGGCATCCATAACCGTAATTGCGATTAGAAATTTGATTAATTGTGCAGCCCTACAAGCACCTTAAAAAAGTACCACTTCTTCAGTTGAAATCCTGCCTGTGTCTGCTAAAAACTCTAGATGTTTCCAAACACGCATCTCTTGATGTGCAGGATAGATCGAGCACACAGTACATTTCAGATGAACTAGGAAGATATACATTTTATTTATGGCAACCAAAACCATCTCCTGACAAGCCTGAGCAGAGATGGGAAGTCGCGCTCTGTTTGGCACTTCCAGTAAACGCTGTGATATCACGCACCAGGAATTGAGGTCACCTGTCTCAGACGAAGACACATCAAAAGAAAGCTACAGAAATGAGTTTTCATCATTTGGCAACTACATGTGGCCTTATTGACATGAAATCTGCAAAGACACATTTAGTTTGATTGTTACATCTGTATCTATGTTTGCTGATCAGTTAAATGCAACACTGTTTATTGAAGTGTACATTATTTTAATTTACATATGCATGAGATTTTATGAATTTGAGAATATCGTGTGTATTGGGCCAATTTAAGTCAAGGATGCATTTGTAAATCTTTTTTTTTTCTTTTCATTTTGCTTAATTTTAACCATGTGCTTCTTGCTCAGATTTGATTCTCGTGTTAGTGCAAAGAGACCCATATCATGTTCAGGAAAGTGGCCTGTGGGAATTCTGCCGCTCTGTGAAATAATGTTATAGGCTACACTATACTGTCCCCTCCAAAGACATGCTGATTTTGCCCTGCAAATCTTGATATCTGCAATAAACTTTGCACATCATTTTTCTTAAAAATCATGTATATAGTTTGCAGTTTCAACAGGTGGAAGAGCATCTGCTAGAGGATCTGTAGTATGATGAAACAAAAAGTAACCGTCAATTTCCATCAGCTGTTTTAAGACTGTAAGATGATGCAGAATTCCATCAAATGTAAAAAAAAAAAAATAAAAATACTGACGATTTCTTCAACCAGCTTGCCTTTGGAGGGAGCTTTCCCTTTGACCTACATAACACTCTCAAAAATGATCACCTTGTTCTCCTCCGTTCCAGGAGACAGAGAGGCCAGGCTTTTAATGTCAGTGTCAGGGGCCATGTATTCGAGGTGATGGGCTCCCCACACTGGTTTGGTCAGATTTTCCCAACGCTGCATGCAGGAAAAATGAAAACACACAATGATTTGAAGCAGCTCATGTAGTCCTAATGTATGCATTCTGAATAAAATCAAGCTAGTTTAGCGAAGACAACTACAAGTCATTTATTGTAGCTGTGAGAATTACAATTAACGACAATCAGACTAAGCTTGTGTCAACAAATCTGTGCTGACATTTCCATTTAGTGTGTCCGTAGGTTTTCCCACGTTATCCCACATTATTTTCAAGGACTGACAGAGTTAACACTTGCAAATGACGGTTTACAGTTATTTATAAATCAGACCCAGATTTATTCTTTGTACGGTTGTTCTTTTGCATTTTTTCGTTAGCGGAAGCAGTAATAATTTTTTTTTAATAATATTAAAAATATCTGTATGACATTATATCCTGCAGTTCTTCCCTGTTGTACCGAATATCTATACTTTTCAAATTATATCAAAGTTAGAAATTCAAATATTGTGACAAAATTAATTTTGTAGGGTGCCACAAGTTTGTTAAAATTTCCAAAGGGTGCCGCGACTAAAAAAAGGTTGGGAAACACGGAGTTAGAGGACAGACACTTTTAAAAACTAAACGGTCAATGCAGTGCACCACAAAGCAGGAGTCAGATTTGATTTATCACGTGAGGAGAGTGAGTAGAGTTGACTGAAAAGAGTGAGGTGAGAAAGACAAGAGGATGGCAGAAGATTGTTTAGAAAGGAAATGCAAAGGCGCCTGTTTGGCAATATTTTAGATTTTGAAAAGCCTATTGACTGGAAGTTTTTTTAAACATTCGTTTCTTATTTATTTGGTTCCACAGTGTTTGCTGATTACTTTATTATTTAATCTTTGTGTATTTTATTTATTTTATTTTACATCAAGGTGTATATGCCGTGCCTCCAAGCTTTCTTATTTGTTTTGCTAATAAGCGTTCTGTTTCTTATTTATTTGGTTCCACTGTGTTTGTTGATTTTCAGTTTTATATACCCATTTAAACTTTGTGTAGCCTAAGTAATTTGTTATTTTATTTAGAGTCGAATTGACCTCCTTGGTTTCTATGCAATTTTTGTCAACAAAAAAACGCTGTTTAAAAAAACTTTTATTGTATTTATTTAATTTTTTGATTGTATTGCTTGTTAAACACTTAAATGGGAAATACATTAGACTTTATGAAATGTAAGACTCAACGTTAATTTGAAACAAGACTTCCAAGGAAAATTCATTGTTTTTGGTCGTTAGTTTTTTGGATCTCAATTACAAGAAAATTACAAAATATAAAAAGGCAGAAGTAGTACAAATAGCAAAAAAATATTACTTACACTAAGTACAATTAATGTTAGATACCAGGGTTATTATAGTTCACTAAAACTTGAAACAAAACATTTTTCGTTACTTGAAACTACTTTTATGGGATTATCTCATTTTCAGTTAGTTCATCTTGATGTACTAAAATAACTACAAGTAAAAATGAAATTAACATGATAAAAAAAAGATATACATATTTAAAAAAAACTAATGAAAAATTACAAAAAAACAGAGAATTAAAATAACCCAATATATATTCAGATAGTCATGACAAAAAACATTTTTTTGTGTGTGTCTGTGCTGCTTATTTTGAACATAAAAACAAGTTACAACAGAGGTTTTCCTCTGAGTTTTTTTCATAGTGTTGATTTTTGGCAAATTGCTCGGAAACCAATGGGGCTCAATTTGACCCACAACACAAAAGTTATATCGAGTTTTTGAACACAACACAAGGGTTAAATGGCATAAATACTGACAGGTATATTTTCCAGCACTCACCATGCAAACACATGGAGTTATAATGGACCAGCACCACTTCATCCACGGGAATGGCCGGTAACCGATCATACGGGCAATATCGTCCATGAACCTGTCAGCACCTGCACACAGCGGCATGAAGTCAGCGCTCTTTTGGGTGTGTGTGGGATTACAGCAGTGTTACTGTCAGCACAGGGTCCTACAAGCTACTCTTATAAGAGAAATGCCTACAGTACTCATGATAAACTGATGAGACGAGAAGAGAATGGAAAAACAGCTGCATGAAGAGATTCTCACCATAAACCCACGCGACAACCACGCATTCCCAGAATGCTTGCCACAGTAGGGTAATTCCACTGGCTGAGTAGTAGTCAAAAAGCTGGAAGACGTACATCCCTCCCTGGATATGAAATCAAAATAGACCCGTTTTACTTAATAAATGCCTCACAATCAGTCATGTTGTTTTACAGAGAAAGAATAAATACAAATATGAAATTTCCCACAAATAGTAGAATAATATAGTGGTAGAATAAATATATACAAGCATACAAAAGATTGGGGTTGGTATGATAAAAAATATTGTGAAATATTATTAGAATTTAAAAAAACTGTTTTCGTTTTGAATATATTTAAAAATGAAATTTATTTCTGTGATGCAAAGCTGAATTTTCAGCATCATTACTGCAGTCTTCAGTGTCACATGATCCTTCAGAAATCATTCTAATATGCTGATTTGCTGTTAAGAAATATTTTTCTGAATTTCACCAGAGACGAATTGCTGGACATTCGGCAGTACACACCACCCGATATTTCACCGGTTTTCGATTATTCTGATGTTTTGCTGGACATTGTAGTCGGGGGAGCAGCGGCGCTGTTCAGACGCTTCAGGACGCACAGACGGGGGAAGTGAGCCGGCGCGCTCGTGAAGCTCAGGCAGCGCAGATTCAGGACGCCGTTGCCGAGCATCCATCTGGCGAACCTCCGCTCTCTACCCAACAAAACGGACGAACTCCTTCTGCTCTCCCGGACAAATAAGGATTTTTCAAACTCTGCTGCTCTGTGTTTCACGGAAACCTGGCTGAAAGACGCCATTCCGGACAGAAACTATCAATGTTAAAAACCGTGATGCATCTTTTGATACATAAATAGAAAGTTCAACGGAACAGCATTTATTTAGAAAATTAAAACTAAATATTATATGAGCATTGTAATTGTATATTCATATTATATGAGATTTGCACTTTCAAAATTTAGAACACAAACCCTGACTTGTAATTGTTTTATTTTCAAGCTCTAAACCTGAAATAAATGACATTTTATAAAACAAAAATATGCCACAATGGAGGTTGCAACTACAAAATGTTGATTTTAATTATATTTCCTATTATTTTCCCATAATCAAAAACTAATATTAACCAGTAATATTATAGCTCACTGATTAAATTCCTAGTTCCACCCTGCATTATTAATATTTGGTTTCACCCTGAGGTGAGTGAATAATATATTCGTCATGAATGTTGTTTCATGTTGTCTTCACAACAATTTGTCACCTTCATCTGTGTTTGAAAAACACAAATTAATCAATATCACAAATGCTACTTGTCACGTTATTTTCACTTTGATTCTTTGAAGTTTCCATATGTAAAGCTTCGAGTCACTGTGAGCTTTATGAGTCACGTCACTCCCACATACGGCAGCAATTTTGACTGAAGAAAGATCAGTCTCTGAATGAGAGCGTGACGATCTAATACCCAGAGAAAGGACTTGTGACAAACCATTATATTCTTATCTGACTAATGGCGAGCCACACGACTGATGCTGATATTCTCACAGCTGATGAAGCGGTGTTTCATTAAGAGGACTCACCTGTGTAACCATGGAGAGATCTATAATGAAGCATAATAAACAGCAGATCGCCACAGCGATTTCACGCTGATAGCGCATGTAATACTTTCCAGGGAAAAGATCAAGAATGCCAGTTACGAAACCCTCCACACCAACAAACTGCAGAAAAAAAATAGCGGTCAAATGTGTTATTAATGGGCTCACTTCAAAATCAAACTCAAAATATTTTCAGTTGCGTGGTGATATTTTACTCAAAAACACACAAGGGCAGTTCTCCAGCAAATGAAAGGAAAATGTCCTCTGACAGCTGAAATAAAGTTAGATTTAATATTTTATGTTTCTTATGTTTAAGTTATGTTTATGTTTCTTACTAACGAAAATTATATTTAAACTAAATTTTTGTTGTTGTTTTAGTTTTAATAATATACTTAGAAAATATTTTGAAAAAAACTGCCAGTGACAAGTTATTATAATTATTATTTTTTTATAGATTACAGTATTAGTTTGTAGATAAATATTTTTATAAATACTTTATAAATACTAAAATATTAATACAAAATATTAAAAGTCAGTTGATACATTTATAATTTAGAGGAAATGTTAATGTTTTTAAATTGTCGTACTGAAACTGTTTTGTTTGGAGATTTTAACATAAATTGGTCAGACAAACGTAGTAAGCAAAAACTGAAATCAATTACAGCAAAACATTTAAGCAGTTAATAAAAGGTCCAACAAGGATAACAAAAACAAGTATAAATCTTATTGATCTGGCATTTACAAATAAACCTGAAAGGGTAATAACAATATATAATCTTCTGACAGGTTTGTCCGACCATAACATGATCCTGGTTGTTAGAAAATTAACAAAGAAACGTTTGCGGAGTAATTTTCATCAAACTTTTAAACCAGGAGTAGTAGGCCTGAGAGTAAAATTACAAGATTTGAAAATTATATAATAAATATTAATTGGGATGATGCATTACAAATTGGTGACCTGGACAAAAACTGTGAAATTGTGATGCGAACCACTGAAAAAATGATTCAAAAGTATACACAACTGTTAAAATGTAGACAAAATAGTGCATCCCTACCATGGCTAAATTCAGATATTCATCAACTAATGAAAAAGAGAGATCTTGCTTTTAAAAAGTCTTTGCTTACAAAAACACAGACAGCTATCCTAAGTTTTAAATCGTTAAGAAATAAAGTAGTTAGTGAAATGAGGAAGGCGAAAACTGCATATTTTGAGCAATTGATTGCAGAATCAGGAGGAAATAGCTCATCTCTTTGGAAGTGCATTAACAAACTTTCTAAACGAGAAGGCACACAAAGAAAACCATTGTTGGAGCTGTGCATAAATGGAAGACTTAGTACTGATAGCACTGAAATTGCCAATGAATTTAATAGATATTTTATCCAGTTTGTGGAAGAGCTTGCTATATGTTTTAAACCTGTACAATTACCTCAAAATGCAATAAATGACACACCCTCATCCTTTTATATCTCTGAGGTTGATGAAGATAAGATACTTCAAATTATTAATCAATTGAATAATTCAAGGGCTAAGGATATATTTGGAATGGATACCGCATTCGTAAAAAAATATAGTGCCTGTTTGCTAAAGCCCTTTGTAAATTTGATAAATTTATCTATTAGAGAAAGTAAATTCCCCTCAAATTGGAAAACTTCTATTATAACCCCAATTTTTAAGGCAGGATCAGTTGATGAGGTTCAGAATTATAGACCAATTTCTATACTCCCTGCAATCTCTAAAATTTTGGAAAAGTTGGTAGCTGAACAACTTATCAACTATCTAGAAAAACATGATCTACTTCACTCTAAACAGTTTGGTTTTAGGCCTAAGTATTCAACAGAAATGGCAAACTGCTTTCTCACAGAATTTATTATTGTATTATTAATGTAGTAGGCGCAGTGTTTTTAGATCTCAAAAAGGCATTTGATACAGTGAATCATGAAATGCTCCTACATAAATTAAATTTGTTTAGCTTCTCTCAGCAGGCACTGAATTGGTTTAGATCATATTTAGAATCTCGAGATCAGTGTGTTAAAATAAATAATTCAAGATCAGCTTTACGAAACAATGAGATGGGTCTCCCTCAAGGGTCAATTTTGGGTCCATTGTTGTTTTCCTTATATGTCAATGATTTACCAAACTGTTGTAAGCAAACTAAATAAATGTCAGTTATATGCAGATGACATGGTCATTTATGTATCAGCACAGACTCCACGCTTAGCTGTAGATATATTAACAAATGAAATGACTGGTGTGTGTCACAGTGGCTGCAAAACAACTGTTTGACCTTGACTTGTTCAAAAACGGTCTCAATGTGTTTTTCAATTAGAAGGAAGGAAATTAGTGGTTTTATAATTAAGATCAATCAAAAGGCAATAGAGACAGTTAACAATTTTAAATATTTAGGTGTTATTTTAGATTCTCATTTGAAATTTGATGTGTATGTAAAGAGGCTGTGTAGAACAATCAGAACAAACTTGAATTGTTTTTACATGTTTAGACCATATATATCTCTAAAAGCAGTTATACATTTATACAGTTATACAGCAGTTATACAGTTATACAAGTTATACATGCATGCAATGGCCTTTTCGCATTTATCTTATTGTGTGACTGTCTGGAGTCAGGTTTCTCAACTGACTATCAAACCTGTTAGATCTCTATATAAACAAACACAAAAAATTTTGGACAAGAAACCAAATAGATGGCATCATTGTAATATTTTACAAAAACATAGTTTGCTTAGTTTTGAAAATTTTATTAACTTGTCTCTTATTAAAATGGTTTTTAAATGTGTAAATAATCTTGCTCCAGACATTATATGCCAATTAATATCAAAACAGAGTAGTAAGGGGATCACTACAAGAGTTGCAACTAATCAGAATTTTAAAAAGTGGTTCAAACAAAAGCAGGTTTGTGAACACTGATGGTCGTAGACAGTGTCAGTTTTTTTTATTTTATTTTTTTTTTACTTCCGCTTAGTTTTTTGTGTGATTATTGTTTTACTGTTGTTAAAAAAGCCTAACCAGGGACTGGGGCTGCAAATTAACCTTTGGCTAGAAGCCTATATGTGGAGCATCGGCTGCTTGAAATTGTAGCAATGTTATACTGCATTGTCCCTGTTAAATAAACTAATGATAATAAATATTTTTGATATTTTTATTTTCCAGAGTAATTTCACAGATTTCTGTGGGTGGCATTTTAAACTTTGGCCATTCATATCATATAAAAACCACACACGTAATCCTTAAAATGTCTGCATGTGAGCTGACCTGACTGTCCAGTCCCAGCAGTAGCAACATGACAAAGAATAGGGCAGCCCACACCGGAGCCACGGGCATCAGAGAAACAGCTTTAGGGTACGCTATGAATGCCAAACCGGGGCCTGTGGGAAGAAGAGGAACATGAGAGACGTGTCACCATGGGCTACAGGCCGCCCACAACTCAGACACACATACACACGTACAGCACCAATGTAACAGAGAGAGATAGAACTCAATCAGAGAGAGAGAGAGAGAATGAGAGATAGAAGCACCTGGATGAAGTGAAACGAACTGAGAGCTCGTGGGAAAAAGACGCGCAGGGAGTTGAGTTTTCCTACTGTTTATTGTTTTTTATTGCTCCTCTATATTGTTCATTTGAGTCTAATTCTTTTACTGGAGATAAGCCGTAATGTCATGTAGGCAGCGTGTCATTAGAGTAAGTGCATGCTAACATCGAGGCCGTCTAAATTGTTAGTCCTCTGCCATAATACTAGTAAGTATCACAGCACACAAGTCCACAAAGTTATGGCAGACAAATTGAACACAAAACTGAGTCTTGAGTTTGTCGTCTAAAATATTCTGTAACTTGATTTGTGTCCTAAAATTTAAAGGGACACAAACAGCTTCTGCGAGATGAAGAAATGTAAACTGAACTGAGTCGGCCGATAATTGTGCATTTCGGTCTAAATTGAGCTGCTTAACTATTGTAATCATAACAGAAGCACAACTAAACACTTGAAGGGGTCACATAACATATCATATTTATTATTTAATTTATTCCACTGATGCTGTTTGTAATGTTTTTCACAAATAAAGGGTCATTGTTTAGTTCATTATCATGATAAATGAGTGGTTTTGCCTTTATGACTTCTATGTATGCACCCTCTTTGCATATGAAATGAGAAGCGAAGTTTAGCTGCGCTCACTCGCATTGTTTCCACTGTTTTGTATAGCTGCTCCATCTATCAAAAATAGCCTGAATTGCACTGTGATAGATTTATAAGACATTCTGCATGGAAATGAGCCACTCAGACTGATCAGAAATTGTTAAAAAACAAACTTCAGTCTAAAGTTGAGATTCTTCTGCTACACACAACAGAATCAACACAGGGTTTAATGTATTAGCTAGACATTTTACTCTAGTTAGCACTTTAAGCATTTAAGAATAATAATATATTTCATACTTTGTCAATATTTCATTACTGTGACCAGAGTGCCATTTTATAGAGTGTCAATTTATGCTTCAGTCACGTGTTGAAATATTATTATTAATATAATAATACTGTTATGGTAATATTATGGCATTAGTTTTTAAATAAACATTTTTTATAAATAACACAATTTGAATACAAAAAATATATAAAAAAAAAAATCAGTGGATATGTTATGTTTTCTTGATATGCATTAAAGTATTTTTTGTAATCTTAAAATCAGTAATCAAAGACATTTCCATTAATGTTCTGATAATAATTTCAGATTTCATTTTAGATTTTACTGAATAAATTAACACATTTCTATGTGTGGCATTTCAAACATTAAAGGTGCACTAAGTGACTTTTGAAAAACACTTTTGACCACAGCGTCGGACCGAGTCCGAGTGCACATTTAATATCATATAAAACCCTCACACATCATCCTTAAAATGTTTTCATGTGAAGACCATTCAAAATATGCTTCAGTCACTGATTTCTTATGTTGAGATTCTTCTGCTATAGAGATTCTACAGGAACAATACATGCTTTAACATATTTTCTATATATTTTACTCTAGCTCTTTAGGAATAATAGTATATATCATACTTCATCAATATTCCATTACTGTGACTGGACGAGTCATGTTATAGGTGTCAACTGATGCTTATTGTTATTAATTTATGGTAATTTTACAATATTAGTAGATAAACCTTTCATAAATAATAAAATGAGAATAAAAATATTAAGAAGTCAGTGGTTACATTTTTCTTAATCTGATAGCAATTGCGAAAAAACTAAAACATATACTGTATATACAGAATGTATATGTTTAATGTTGCAATCTTGAAAGCAGGAAAGATTTAGAAAGATTCTATTTTTGAATTATCTTAACAATAGGGATGCACCGAATTTTCAGCAACCGAAATAATTCCGATGAAAATAGCAAAGAAAGCTCTTTTGGTGTTCGGCCGAATAATCGAAAAGACTGAATAAATTGTACCGAACAATGATGTGATGCGATCAAATAGCAACCAGCGAAGAGTGAGAGGCGCGCACTCTTTATAATGCAGCACACATGTCAGCAGTGTGGAAGCATTTAAAACTGTCAGAGAAAGACGCAAAAATCATTACAAGCACCGACAGCGAGAGACTGTTTAGTACTGCATCGCATGTCTTCGATGAGAAGAGGAAGGGGTGATTGTTGCTGGTTACCGTATGATGATTGAAATCGCGAAATGACCTTAAACAATTAGTAAATAAACTGTTTATGTTTTACTGTATATGTTTTCTAATACACGCATGCATTGCATGTATTCTGACAGCGCTGCACAAACTCGCCGCGCTATCTGCTTGTTAACCAGGGTTCAAAGTCTGCGATGAACCAGTGTTACTCGTCAGTTGCTCACACATTTTTATGAATTTTTACAATGTATGTGACAATGCGATATGTACAACGTATTCGTAATGAGAATCGTTTATACAGCTGCTGTTGTCAACAAAAAGAAGCATTGAGGTCTTCTATGTTATGTTTTCTTGATATGCATTAAAGTATTTTTTGTAATCTTAAAATCAGTAATCAAAGACATTTCCATTAATGTTCTGATAATAATTTCAGATTTCATTTTAGATTTTACTGAATAAATTAACACATTTCTATGTGTGGCATTTCAAACATTAAAGGTGCACTAAGTGACTTTTGAAAAACACTTTTGACCACAGCGTCGGACCGAGTCCGAGTGCACATTTAATATCATATAAAACCCTCACACATCATCCTTAAAATGTTTTCATGTGAAGACCATTCAAAATATGCTTCAGTCACTGATTTCTTATGTTGAGATTCTTCTGCTATAGAGATTCTACAGGAACAATACATGCTTTAACATATTTTCTATATATTTTACTCTAGCTCTTTAGGAATAATAGTATATATCATACTTCATCAATATTCCATTACTGTGACTGGACGAGTCATGTTATAGGTGTCAACTGATGCTTATTGTTATTAATTTATGGTAATTTTACAATATTAGTAGATAAACCTTTCATAAATAATAAAATGAGAATAAAAATATTAAGAAGTCAGTGGTTACATTTTTCTTAATCTGATAGCAATTGCGAAAAAACTAAAACATATACTGTATATACAGAATGTATATGTTTAATGTTGCAATCTTGAAAGCAGGAAAGATTTAGAAAGATTCTATTTTTGAATTATCTTAACAATAGGGATGCACCGAATTTTCAGCAACCGAAATAATTCCGATGAAAATAGCAAAGAAAGCTCTTTTGGTGTTCGGCCGAATAATCGAAAAGACTGAATAAATTGTACCGAACAATGATGTGATGCGATCAAATAGCAACCAGCGAAGAGTGAGAGGCGCGCACTCTTTATAATGCAGCACACATGTCAGCAGTGTGGAAGCATTTAAAACTGTCAGAGAAAGACGCAAAAATCATTACAAGCACCGACAGCGAGAGACTGTTTAGTACTGCATCGCATGTCTTCGATGAGAAGAGGAAAGGGTGATTGTTGCTGGTTACCGTATGATGATTGAAATCGCGAAATGACCTTAAACAATTAGTAAATAAACTGTTTATGTTTTACTGTATATGTTTTCTAATACACGCATGCATTGCATGTATTCTGACAGCGCTGCACAAACTCGCCGCGCTATCTGCTTGTTAACCAGGGTTCAAAGTCTGCGATGAACCAGTGTTACTCGTCAGTTGCTCACACATTTTTATGAATTTTTACAATGTATGTGACAATGCGATATGTACAACGTATTCGTAATGAGAATCGTTTATACAGCTGCTGTTGTCAACAAAAAGAAGCATTGAGGTCTTCCTGCGTGATTCCGCCAAAATAAAAGTTGAGAAAAAGCAACTCTATCAACATTCATAAATGTTAGTATTGTAATTTTACTGTTGTTCTGTAAAATAAAATAAAAAGTAAGACAATAATAATGATAATAATAATTACAACAGGTCTGTTAATACATTTATTATAACATTCACACATAGTGTTCAACTTAGGATCTGTAATATTTTCCAATGTTTTAAAAGAAGTCTCTTCTCAGCAAGGCTGTTTTTAATTATACAGTAAAAAATACATGCCTGATTCAAGAAGGGGGTCTGTTGGCCATAAAATATTATTTTACTAACTTTAAGTTAAATTGTGCTTTGTTGGTATAGTGTCTTCTAGAATGTTAAAAATGTTAAATATTTTTAAATTGTTGTTTTGTAATTGATTTTTTTCTTTGAAAAGCAAGACAAAACAGTAAAAAGCACATTTTGGCTATTTAATTTATGCAATGGTGAAAAACAATTGGCAAACTACATGAGGAAAAAAACTCGAAAAACCGTGTTCGGTATTCGGCCTTCGGCCCAGTGTTTAATTTTGTTCGGTTTCGGCTTCGGCCAAGAATTTTCATTTTGGTGCATCCCTACTTAACAAGTTTCTATGGGTGGTAGGGGTGAGTGATATACCGGTAGAAATTTTGGACTATCGTCTCTACCACAGTTACACGCTTATGTGACGTTACTGTGCTATGTGGTCACGAAAACGTAACGTTTGTAAGCATTGCGCTTAAAAAAACAAGTTTTTTAAAGACAAGTGATTTGAAGCCATTGAAACAAAATCTGCAACAAAAAATAACTCATTTCGCTGTATATGCGCACTGAGAGAGTTATTTTTGCCGATTTATAGACCTTGAATGGTTAAATACACACTTGAATGTGTCAAAATGCCTGTCTTTGCAAGCATCCTCAAACACAGTAAGTCTTAAGTGAAAGCAAACAGCTGAGAAACAAAACACGTGTAAAAGTATATTGGATCAGGGCAGCTCTTAAAGTGACAGCAGTCTAATATTCCTGCTGTCTTTCATGTTAATCAAACAACAAAAGAGAGAAAATCTCTCACTGCTCTTGACTAAATCACTTTCGTAACTTTAATAAGAATAAATACATATTACATTTACACAGTGAAGAATATGTAGTGTTTTTATACATTTAATTACTTTATACAATGTATGAAGTATTTTTTATTTAATTGTTCCACTGTAGTTTTTTGTCCTATTGCTTGCAATTAGTTTCTTATTCTTATTTGATTGCTGTCTGTTTACTTGTCTTCAGTGAGCTATATCAACAAACAACTAAACAACTATATCATGATATATATTGTTATCATGGAATAGAATTACTCGGATCGTAATATACGATTTTGGTCATATTGCACACCGCTAATGGGTGAAATTTTATCCTTGCAATTATTAGAATAGAAGAATCAAACACCTTATCCTTAAAGAGTTTCTATGTGAAGACTATTAAAATAAGCTTCAGTCGCTGATTTCAAACATTGACATTCTATTGCTACACACAACAGGATCAGCACATTTGAACATATTTTCTACACATTTTACACTAGTTAGCTCTTGGTGTTTAGGAATAATCATATATACCATAGATTGTCATTATTACATTACTGTGACAGGACAGGCCAAGTTACAGGCGTCACTGATGCGTTTATATTCAAAAAGAGCCATTTTTACAGCTTAGTTTCAGTAAATGCTCTTTTTTAGCAGTTTTCAAAGTTTTCATAAAAAACATCATGTAAAATGTAATTTCTCATTATATGACCCCTTTAAGGAATAGTAGAGGTGGGATATTTTTTGTATTACCAGTGGATATTACGACACTGGCTTTGAACTAACAACTAGGCCTGATTTATGACAAATGTAGCAAGATCCAGGCAAATGTAATGGAAATACACGATGAAGAGCCAGAAGAGAGACGTGTCTTATATTTACATCAAGCGACTGTTTGGAGAAGGTTAGTGCTAGACATTAGCGTTTTTTTTTATCATGTTGGGGTTAAAGCAGGTGTTGAGTGCCGGCAGTGTACAGTTTTTCCACACGTTGGCTTTGTCTCTTAAGATGGATGAGCCTAATTGTGGAATGAGGCTAGGCTACGCTGTGCATGTCGGGCCTGCCCTGCCTGTGCGGCAGACGGTCGTAGGTGCTGACTTTAGGGCTGGGCTGTAGTAGAGGTGTAAATGCTAACATTAGATATCAGAGGTTTACCTGCATTGGCAGACTGCTCCAGGACCCCTCTTGAAATCGAGATGTGCACATCTCAAGAGGCAAAGTTCCTGGTTAAATAATCCTTAAATTAATACTTAAATAAAGCCAAAATATAGATATAGAGATATAAATAAATATATATAAATCACAAGATATATAAATATATATATATATAGAACGGGACTGAAGACAATCAAGGAAAACTAGTCAAAGCATCAAATTTATGATGGGGAGTCTGGTTTGCTTTCTAACTGTAACTGTCATCCGATTGTGTGCTGCAGGAAAATGAAAAATAAGAAAAAGCCACAAACAATGTGTCAATGGTTTCCTTCTCAAAATCATCTGGAAGTACAGCACATCACAACCCACTCGGACATCACGACACAAGCACACTGACCTCGAGATCTATTTCTAAACATCACACTGACACAGACAACACACTAGAAGACACGGACCAACACATACACACACACTCATTCCTACACATGTACATTCATAACATGTCTGTGTGTGTGTGTGTGTGTGTGCATATGTGCATTCTTGATGTTTTCTAAAAGGGGCCATTTTTTATACTTTATTTAATTTTTTTAAAAACATGCGGGCAATCATATTTCAGGTTTCTGATGCCTGAAATCCAAGCATCCCAAATAAAATAAAAGATGCCTCTTCCATGTAACGCAGTATTATATATTTCATTTACTTGATTAAAAAGAGAAATGTTAAGTTTCTTTTATTTCAGATAACATTTAGTTTAGAAGTAGTGAAATGTGTTTATGGTTTTAGTTTTAGTTAACTACAATAACCCTGGTTCATTAGCTACAGTACATCTGTGACAGTAGGGGTACCACGAACAAAAGTACTAAAATTAGTGCAGATTACAGATTATCAACTAATTTTGGTACCCAAGTGACCAAATCTGTCAAATGTAAATCTGTGTATTATGTTGAATTTAAAACAACAATATGAACATGAAAAAGAGACTTGAATGGTTACTTCATTGATAAATAATTGCAACCTACACTCAATTTAATTTGTTAATATTTAAATGAATATTAAACTTAATTTGGCATCATGGAAAGCTGACTGAAAAGAGCAAGGACATGCGATTCCTCATGATTTGACCCCTTTAAAGCATGCGGTACACTGGTAGGTTAACCCCAACATGTATGAGCAGCGATCCGATTAAAATTAATTCATTTCAAGGACGTGAGGGTCACTTTGTATGAAGTCCGTGGCATCTTGCCAGGTCATTTAAAAATATTATCACTTCATACTCATTTAGTCTTGCTGCACAGTCTCTCCTTCAGGCCAAGAACATGTTGTCCTTTACTGAGCCTCACAAACCAGTGCACTGCTTCTGCGCCGCGAGCTCAACTGAGTCTGAAATGACAGTGCTAATTCACCATGCAGGGGTAAGAATAAAATACCACTAGCACTAAATGGAGCTCCGCTGTATGATTTTAAACCAGGGCTAGATTTATCTACCCAAGGTTTCTTCATACCTAATTCAGAAGCTTAGTTAAATTACATTTAATTTCCATTTCTGGGGCTAACTTTAGTTTGAATTTATATTTTACACAAAAGGTGAATTATGATATAGTTCGATCATTTTACTGATTCTGTAGATTTAAATTCTGTTAAATGCACATGCTACAGATGATGGGTCCATGAGTCAGTAAATATGAAAGTATATATATATATACGTGTGTGTGTGTGTGTGTGTGAAATTTTATATAAATTTCTAAGTGAACATTTTTCAAACAAATTGCAAGAAACACATTGAATTAAACATTACATTTTAAAGCAGAAAGAATTAAATAGTATTTTCTTTTAAAATGTACTCTAGTAATATTTGTTTTATTTACAACTCAAAAATGTTATTTATTTATTTTTTTAATTTATTTATACAGTGCATGAAGAAGTTGGCTAAAAAAACAAACATTTGTAAAACATTTGACTAACTTATGGTCACTGTTCTTGATTAAATCAGTACAGAAAATATAGGATTTGCTTTCCCTATATTTATAATGTGCACTCGTATGCATTTTTCTTCATGCAACAGCCTTTAGCAAGACATTTATGTAAAAAGACATGAATTTAGTGTCAATCTTGTAGGACGGTCATGTTATGTACAGATTATTAGTGATAGCTTCACAAAAATCGGAGTGACAGAAAGGCTTCGTCTGGTGTTCACACTTTAAATGTGAAACATGTAGGCCTATGTGTTATAAACTAACACGTCTACATGCGTGAGCGTCACACAAGAACATGTGGGGCCTTAAATTTCATGCTGCATACTATTAGTATAGTCTGTGATGCATGTTCATTTCGATCATGAATGATCAGGATTCATAATTATTATTAACCTAAACATAAAATTTGAATTAAATTGTAATCAATGTCTATGTAAATGTGTATGTAAAATCAAGGCATTACATTTTGGGAATTATATATTCCTCAGTGTTTCAGGACACAGCAAACGGGAACAAGACTGTACTAATTGTGATGTCGAAAACTCACAAACATACACACACCTGCATTCAGAACAGACAGACACTCTCTCTCACACACACACACACACACACACACACACACACAATCCCACACAATACAAAAAATAATGAGTGACATACAGTTGTTAATGAACTATTATCTGTTATTTACCATTAGAAACTCACGCACACAAACAAGTATGCACGCACGCACACACACACACACACACACATACACATAAAACAAACTGCTAAGTGTCTGGTCCCTTTCACAGTAATATGACTAACAGCAAATAGCATTGTATATAAACATGATCTTCATTTATATTCTGCTTTCAATTATATTGTCAAACCAACAATAAACATTTACAGTAATACAAAATTCAAGTCACATATCAAACTGCATTGAAATTAATTTACTGTATAATATCATCATCACCACCATCATCATATCACATATGTTCATGACTCACACAATGCATGTTTCATTCATTTTTAGCAGATCATTCTTGCATTAAATATTGATTTCATAAATGATTTACAAGAACCAGCCCCAGGTCAAAAATGCATTCACTTATGTGCACTAAAAACAAGTGGAAGTGAATTATTACACTTGCATTAAGATGCATGTTGTTTCAGGGCTGGCAGACACGTAAATATCTTACCATCCAAAATAGTATATAATCTGTAATGAAGTAAACCACTGTAGACTCTTACCTGATTCAGCCACTTTAGAGATGTCCACACCTTGCTCGGATGCCATGAAACCTAAGATGGAGAAGACCACGAAACCAGCAAAGAAACTGGTGCCACTATTAATAAGAGCCAGAACAAAAGCGTCCCTGAAAACAGAAGAAAACACAGACGTTAACTGTTGTGGCATCTTTATTTAAATCCAGTCAGATGGTTGTGTAACACATTAGATGCATTATAAAAGACATATAACAATGCCACCTTATTGTCTGTTAAATATTCTTGAGCATAATTAAAACTATTGCTACAATACATTCAATCACTTATCTGCTCACGGTTATACATGAAAGAAAATAATGCATTAAATAACATCTTTTTATAATCCACTGCACTCTTAAAATGTATAACCTTGAATTTGTACATACTAAAATGTATCGTAACTGTGGTTACAATAATTTAATAATTTTTCTTTTTTTATCAATAAATGATAATAATCATAAAATATAATACAGTTATAATAATACTTTAAATTATTATGAAAATATTTATTAACAATTATTTAATGAATAAAATGAATTAATAATAAAAAAAAATCTAAATATTGATTTAGACATTAATTATATTCATTAAATAAATGAGTAATTTAGTAATGATATTAACTTCTCATTTAACACACATTTTTAACAAGTGAACAAGCTGAATTTTAAAAATGTGCATGCATTTTTAATCTCAAAATTTCATAGTAGCATATTCGGTTATGTCTCATTTTGCTTATTTAAATTTTTTCAAAATCTTAAAATATTTTATTTACAATTTTAAATTAAATCATTCCTGATTATCAGTGTATATATAACCAGCTAAAGTACTCTGTACATTAAAGTCAAAGCAAAGAACTGCTGATTCAGTGCATCTGGTTACTAATGTATCCAGGACATTTGAGATCTACTATTAAAGTGAGTGGCCTTTGCTCTTTGCTAGCCACATCAGTCAAATCCAGCTTCATATAAAACAAGGTCAGGACCCTCTGATGGCGTGAACGTACTAGACACAACGTCTTTCAAAAGGAAAACACACTGGTTCAGAAAGTACACAAGACGCCATAACAAAAATGTGTCCTTGTCTCTTCAAGGCTGTGACGGATGCTTACTTATAGCAGTCATTGTTGAATCGGTTATAGCTGCCGAGGGCCGTGAGGGCCCCGAGCCCGATAGCATAGGAGAAAAAGATTTGAGTACCAGCATCGATCCAGACCTGAGAGAGACAGACAGAGTAATGACAGTCAGACAAACAGATCCACCTCTGAAATGATTAATGAGCTCAAAGTGGCTCCAGGTACTCTGGAGAGAGACATAAAAGTCGAGTTTAAAAATTTGAACGTTCTTAGAAACACTAAACTGAAACAGTTATAAAGTATTGTGTATCAGACTTATAAGCAGAGAGAGAAAAGTAAATAAACTGAGAAAAAAAATGAAGCTTATTGAATTACTTTTACATTTATTTATTTGGATAAAAGCGTATGATTTTATCCAAAGCGGATGGGAGGATTGATGCTCGCAAAGGTGAAAGAGAAAACTAAAGGTCTCACCTGTGCCTCTCCTAGCTTAGACCAATCAGGTTTGACATAGTACATGATCCCATCATAAGCACCAGGAAGTGTGACGCCCCTCACCAGGAGAATAATCAGGACCACATACGGGAACGTGGCAGTGAAATACACAATCTGTCGAAGACAAAAATACAGACAGACAGACAGACAGTCAAGTCAACTGTTTTCATTCCTACAACTCACCGCTTAAAGAAACACCCAAAAATCTGCAAAAAATTTTTGGTTCTTCAGATTTGGAGAAAGTTAGCATTACATCACTTGCTCATCAATGGACCCTCTGCAGTGAATGGGTGCCGTCAGAATGAGAGTCCAAACAGCTGATAAAAACACAATAATCCACACGACTCAATTGAATCTTGTGAACGTAAAGCTGCATTTTTGTAAGGACCAAATCCATCATTAAGGTCATTTTAACTTTAAACTGTTAGTTCTGGACAAGATATCAGTCTATAATCCATAATGACACTTTCTCCATTAAAAAAGTCCAACCCCTGTTGTCCTCTCACGCCAATATATTTGCTTAGAAGTGTTTTGGACAGTTTTTTTTACTTATAAATGGTGCTTGATCTGTGCATATTTCTCTCCCAATTCAGACGAGACGACTTTTTTTAAATGGACAAACCAACATTATGGACAGAGGAATCATATTTTAGCCAGAAGCAATGGTTTAAAGTTAATATCAATTTAACAATGAATTTATTTCTTGGAAACACAGCTTTTCGCTTCACACGACATTAATTTATGGACTGGAGTGGTGTGTGGATTTACTTGTAGGTTATTGTGATGTTTTTATCAGCTGTTTGGACTCTCGTTCTGACGGCACCCATTCACTGCAGAGGATCCATTGGTGAGCAAGTCATGTAATGCTACATTTCTCCAAATCTGTTCTGATGAAGAAACAAACTAATCTACATCTTGGATGACTTGAGGTAACTGTTCAGCAAATTTTCCTTTTTGGGTGAACGATTCCTTTAAGGTGTTTATTAATACTGTTAATATTGCTCATACTGTCGTTGGGTATTTGAAGTATAAACATTAAACTCTGGCACATAACTCATCCTCCACCGCATATGCAGCAGCCATGACTGATATCTCAAATCATGTTTGTTAAGCAGAGATGTGATATTATTTCTCAGAAAGATCAGACTTAGTAAAACACCCTAGCAACGACGTTGCAATGTCCTGGTGACCATTCACAACATGAGTTTTGCATGAGAAAGTAGCAGTTATATTTTATTCAGAATATTTGACAATATGTTATTTTCCATGATTAATAAATGTCCTTGTTTGCTAAATAATTTTGGCAGTCATTTATGTGGATTTGCTAGATCGTAGAAAACTACATATAATCCAGATAACATAAACTAGTTCAACACAATATTATCAGTAAATTTATATCAGAGAATCTGCTGCGTTGCATCTCTGAAATACATTTTATCTCTCTCGGTTCACAGCAAGGACGGTGTTAGTCACATGCTGAGCATTGTGTCATGTGAATGAAGATGAGACGCATATACTGCATGTCTCAATGCCTTCTGTTATCAGATCACCACTGATTTTTCAGCAAGGAGAGGTTTATTGATTCAGCGGATGGGTCCAAATGCTCTGAACTTTGAACTCTGATGATACGAGACAGATTGTTATCAGAGAGCATTTACATGAGACTTGCTCATTCCAAGCCTTGCTGGTTTATGGACTTGGCTCACATGCCAGGTATGGTCTTACAAGCCTGGCAGCCTTCTGTAATTGCTCCATATAGACACACAAATGTAGGACAGCCAATTCTAGATCAAGCCCATCGCATTAAAAGCACGCCGCTCAGCCACAGATCTTCAATTGTTCCTGCAAACCCCGTCTCCTGAATTCCCTCGGGAAGACGAGCTCAACTCAAAAAGTACAATGCTGCCCGATTACAACAAAAACACGGTCACGGTTTAGGACATGCAGTGCATGGTGAGAGCTTTCTGAATTCTCCACGTCATTCTGCGACATCTTTGTCTGTCCACAGTCCAGAGCCATGTCACCTGCACAATTATGGATCCTGAAACATCAACGAAAAATGGTCTAATAATCTCTCTACCACACTAGACTCTAGTCAATGATGGGTGAAAATTCACTGGTCATATATAAATAATTATTATATTATTATATTAATGTAATATTATTATTATTTTAATAAACATTCTAATATATTAATATTATGGAATTATACTATTCTATATTATTATTAGTGCTGTCAAATGATTAATCGCGATTAATCGCATCCAAAATAAAAGTTTTTGTTTACATAATATATGTGTGTGTACTGTGTATATTTATTATGTATACATAAAGGCACACACACACATAGCAACTATTTTTGCAAATATTTACATGTATTTACGTGTATATATTTATATTCATATAAATTATATCATATATAAATATATTAAATGTATAAACGTAACATATTTTTCTTAAATATATACATGCATGTGTGTGTATTTGTATATACATAATAAATATACACAGTATACACACATATATTATGTAAACAAAAACTTTTATTTTGGATGCGATTAATCGTTTGACAGTACTAATTATTATTATTATTAAAAATCAATTTTGAAATAAAAAAATCTGTATTATTTATTATATATTTTATTCATATTTATTTATATAACTTATTTTATTCATTGATGCATTAAATTGATCAAAAGTGGCAGTAAAGACATTTATAATGTTACAAAAGATTTTTATTTCAAACAAATGCTGTTTTTTTTTACTTTCTAATCAGCAAATAATCAAAGTTTTCAACATTGATATTGAAGAAATATTTCTTGAGCAGCAAATCGGCATATTAGAATGATTTCTGAAGGATCATGTGAAGCTGAAGACTGGAGTAATGATTTATTAACAGATAGTATTAGCTGTCTGATGCATGTCAGTTTAAATTAAATATTTTTACTGTAGATCAGATCAGACTTACATCCATCCCACTTTCAACTGACTATAAAGACGCAGAAATAAACCTGAACTAAAAATACTGTCAGTAAACAAACTCTGTTCTAATTCCCATGAGGCCTGTGAATCTGGGGTAATCTGCCGCTTAGTATTTCTGCCCCGTAATAATTAATCAGATTCTGAAATAGTCAATTAGCTCACTGTAACACTGGCTTATTGTGTGTGTGTGTGTGTGTGTGTGTGTGTGTGTGCGCGTCAGTCGTCTGAATGAGCTTGACTCAACGCTTACTCACAGTGTCCTTTCCATCAAAGAAAAACTATGAAGGAAAAACACGAGCTAGGAACTAAATATGAGTTCAAATAACCTACTTTCCACTGTTTGCCTTCTTTAGCTGTTTATTAGAAACATTAAGCCCTGCTTTGAGTTCACAGGAGTAACTTTAGTGCAGAAGAAACGTGTCCGTAATACAAGGATGACCTTCTATACAGTAATAAGCAGTAGAAATAAAATTAAGTTATTATATTACTAAGGGTTCATATGATCCCGCCTCCCGGAGAGAGAATGTGGCTGTTGGCCATTTGTACGAGCACCTTGTCACGTCCCACTGCAGACACCCGCTCATGACCAACTTTATTATGTATACATAAAGGCACACACACACATAGCAACTATTTTTGCAAATATTTACATGTATTTACGTGTATATATTTATATTCATATAAATTATATCATATATAAATATATTAAATGTATAAACGTAACATATTTTTCTTAAATATATACATGCATGTGTGTGTATTTGTATATACATAATAAATATACACAGTACACACACATATATTATGTAAACAAAAACTTTTATTTTGGATGCGATTAATCGTTTGACAGTACTAATTATTATTATTATTAAAAATCAATTTTGAAATAAAAAAATCTGTATTATTTATTATATATTTTATTCATATTTATTTATATAACTTATTTTATTCATTGATGCATTAAATTGATCAAAAGTGGCAGTAAAGACATTTATAATGTTACAAAAGATTTTTATTTCAAACAAATGCTGTTTTTTTTTACTTTCTAATCAGCAAATAATCAAAGTTTTCAACATTGATATTGAAGAAATATTTCTTGAGCAGCAAATCGGCATATTAGAATGATTTCTGAAGGATCATGTGAAGCTGAAGACTGGAGTAATGATTTATTAACAGATAGTATTAGCTGTCTGATGCATGTCAGTTTAAATTAAATATTTTTACTGTAGATCAGATCAGACTTACATCCATCCCACTTTCAACTGACTATAAAGACGCAGAAATAAACCTGAACTAAAAATACTGTCAGTAAACAAACTCTGTTCTAATTCCCATGAGGCCTGTGAATCTGGGGTAATCTGCCGCTTAGTATTTCTGCCCCGTAATAATTAATCAGATTCTGAAATAGTCAATTAGCTCACTGTAACACTGGCTTATTGTGTGTGTGTGTGTGTGTGTGTGTGTGTGTGTGCGCGTCAGTCGTCTGAATGAGCTTGACTCAACGCTTACTCACAGTGTCCTTTCCATCAAAGAAAAACTATGAAGGAAAAACACGAGCTAGGAACTAAATATGAGTTCAAATAACCTACTTTCCACTGTTTGCCTTCTTTAGCTGTTTATTAGAAACATTAAGCCCTGCTTTGAGTTCACAGGAGTAACTTTAGTGCAGAAGAAACGTGTCCGTAATACAAGGATGACCTTCTATACAGTAATAAGCAGTAGAAATAAAATTAAGTTATTATATTACTAAGGGTTCATATGATCCCGCCTCCCGGAGAGAGAATGTGGCTGTTGGCCATTTGTACGAGCACCTTGTCACGTCCCACTGCAGACACCCGCTCATGACCAACCAGTCTCACAGTGCCTTCCTGACAGGGCACTTTGTAATATTTCCCGCCACACCCCCATTGCAAATAATGTTGCTATGGTTACCTTTCTGCCTCACTCCTGCACGACTGTGACAAAGCAGCAGTGGGTGGAGCTATGCAAATCAAGGTTACACAAGCAAGTCACACTGCACTTGAGAGCACAAGGGAAATGCAATATGATGCAGTCTTTGGCAAACACATTTTTATGAATTTATGTGCAGCATAATTGCAAGATTACATAAGTACATGTGAAATGACCTGCAG